CGATCGATATGATAGTTCAAACATTCGAATACCGAGATCGGTGAGTTTGCAACAATCTTCAAAACCATATTTTAAAAGCCGCTATGCTCCAAACAATTTTCTACAATCCAAGCAAAATTAGCGGAAGTGCCGTTAATTGGATGCAGAGGCCGCTCGCTATTGTGTTGTTGTTTTTAAGCGTGTTGCAAAACGGCGCCTTTAATAAAACGATGGTTATGAAGATGGTTGCAACCAGCCGTTTCAAGGGCTTTCGAATGGCGTAACTATCATCCCGATCCGAGTCTTCCTCGTAGAGAGGTAGGGAAGGTTTTACTGGGACACGCTGCCTGCCAACCGAAAATGCTAGGGCAAAAACGGTGAAGACAGTCCGCTCAGGGAGGAGCAAAGCCGAGTTATATTAGTTTGACCGCTAAACCGATTGATACAAGTTCTCCTGGGCCTTCCTGCCCCTTTTAAAAAAGTCAGGCGACCAAATAAATTATAGAAACCAATGCCTACAGCAACTTTCCATACCACTCGTCCAACCCGCCGAGCTTCGCTTGCCGGCCGGGCTTGAGGCGGTTCGGATTGAGGATACGCCGATCTACCAGATATTTTGCGACAACGGAACATCAATGGCAAACCAGGCTGAATCAGCGGCTTTTTCTTCCTCTTTTGATGCAGTTGGTAATAACTTCTTGGCTTCGGTAAGCTTGATTCTTCTCTCGGATTCAGAGTACGAACTGTTTGTCTATTCCAACTTTATAGCTGGATGAGTACGTCCCGCCAGCCCAACGAAGTACGACAACAGATAAATGCGTTATTAGTTAAAAATACACTATATTCAAAACAAAAAAATCACATGAATACTAGAAAAATAGAGCAAACAACGGTAATATTTCTATTCAAATTTACGAAAATAAAAGTTATTACAACCGGATTCTCTTGATCTGGATCTCATCGTCAATTGCGTCGTAGAATACATCATCGTCGGAGTCGGATGACGCCGCTCTCTGTGACCGGTGTTGGTAGCTTAGAGCGTTTTTGGGTCTAAAAAAGATTATTATGTTCTTACGTTCCAACTAAATTTAATTTGTTTAACAGAAACGGCTACAATAAAAATTCTCACGTTATTTAAAGCCACAAAAATCAATCCAAAATATCATTATTAAAAAAATTCCTTTAGTCTAAAAATTATTAAGATAAGAATTGACGTTATTTAAAGCGACAAAAGTATAATCCTCACCGTTGGAATAAATATCACATCATCTATTGAGTTGGAATCGCTATCGGAATCGGTTTCGACGTCGCTTTCTGTGAGTGGTGCTGACCGAGCAGGTTTTTGTTCCTAAAAAATGATAATAATTTATTGGTATAACTTAATTTTCAGTTTTAACTTAATTTAACTACAATACACAGCTATAACAAAAATTCGGGCGTTAATTTCAAGCTAAATAAAAACAAACCATACCTCCGAATGAGCTATTTCCTCTTCTTCCAGCGAGTTCAAAAAATCATCTTCATCATCCTCATCCTCTCTCGGGTAGAATTCGACGTATTCTCCAGTTTTCTCATCGACAGCAATCTCCCACGTGTCACATTTGTCCCAGGGGCAGCCGCAGCATGATTTTGAACGTTTCCCGACTGAGACGACGGTGAACTGGTTGCCGTCGCCGTGCCGTCCGTAGAGGAACGCTTCCGAGATCATCCTTTCTTGGCCTAAAAGTGTACGATTGTTTTTGATAGCTTTTTTGCTTTTTTTTATTGCTAAAAATTATTCTTGGAATTCTTAATTCAAGATCCTATAAATTGGTTCAATAACTGCTTTGAATAAGAATGTTTGTTAGAAATTAATAAAACAGTCATAAAAATGTTGATTTTTTGGTAAAAAATGCAGTTATGAAAATCGTCAAACGCTTTGGCAAAAGGAGGTTATCGGCTTTGAAAATCGTCAAAAAGCCTTGGTAAACGGAGGATTTATGATGTTTCCTTGGACCTTTGCCCCCAGGAAAATATCACAAATTTGAGTGTTTTTTCCCAATTACGCAATCACAATCTACCTTTCAAAACGAGCCGCCGAATGAGAAGTGGTGCAGAATCCGCGGATCGTGCCCGGACGTCTTCTCGAAGGTTCTTGTCGGCCCAGTAGAATTTGGCGCCCTCGGGAAGTACGGATGGGCCCAAGTAGGGGGCACTGTCCTCGAGGCCCTCTTCGGGCAGGGCTTGAAACATTTTCCCGTGGCAGACGTGCGTTGATTTGCGCTTCCGGCTGTTTTCTGAAAACGGGGCTAATTTTGAAGGGGTCTTCAATACTCTATCGAGATTTAGAAATAGGTTTTCCCGTTTTTACTACTGAAAAAAAAGAAAAACTTGTTTTCGGGGTTGGAAAAACATATTTTTTACAGATTTTGAAAATCAAAAAAAATTCCTACCGCTTCCCCCTCGATTCTTGGAGACGTTCGGCGACCACATGAGGTGCGCCTGGTCAAAGTGGCCCAGCGGCAGCGTTTCCCGCCAACTCCACGCGGCTAGGTGGAACTGAAAAGGACATATTTGAATAGATTTAGCTTAATAACCTTATGTACTACGCATTTGTACCAATCTATTAAAAAAATTCCAAGTTTCAACGCCTCAAAAATACAAAATATTTCCAAAACCAACCATGTGATCAGCGCTGAACTCTTCAAATTCATCCCTTCGTAGATGCCGTAGAACATGGGAGTAGACCTTGCGCTCGTCCTCGGAAAGCGATGTGTAGTCGTCTTTTGGCGCTCCCCAATCGGTTAGGAGGAATCTCTGAAAAATACGTTTTTATTAGTTTCAAAAAACACTCACCCGATCGACACGATCCGCCTTGATCTGCAGCATCAATTCCTCGAATTCGATCTCCACGTCCGGCTCGGCATCCCGGTTCCAAATATCGGCCAGGTCTCCTTTGTGGCGATGAAGATCGGCGATGATCACACCGATAGCGTTGTGCTAAAATGAAGTGATTAAGAGGATGACATCACTTTATTCGGTAATATTAATGTCTTTTTCTTTCCGTATTAATATTTAATCATAGACTCACCGTCACTTCCAACGGCAGCTTTCGGAAATCCAAGAATTCAGGGCACAACACAGCCAACAGATTCCTCTTCAGCCAAGCGATGCCATCAAGGTTTTTGTCAATTAGCGTTGTCATTATCTAAAAAATATAAAGTTTTCGCATTAGAGTAGGTAAGTAGTATTACAACAAATAAAAACTAAAAACGGCAACTTGAAAGACTTGAAGCAATTATGACACCCACTCAGGATTGGCGCCTAATCAAGCAGCAGATATTTGCCACGCGTTGCCACTGATACGCAGATTTCAAAAAAAGAACGATCAGCACATTAAAGATATCGATATGGGTCAGTGGTTATCGCGAGGAATGGCTAATCGGCGCATTAATATAAGAGTTCGTTGAAAATACTATGCTATTCGCAAAATTCGAAAAAGACCTTTCTAAAACATTTATTACATCTTCGGCTTTTTCGCTTCGGGCTCTTGTTTAATTTCATCGCAGAAGACGGCGCCAAGGGTGTCGATGTCGAACACTTCGAATTCTTCTTTTACTTCTTTACCAGTGACGGTTTCTTGGGCTTGTTTGAGCGCCTGAAAAAAGTGTTTGATGATAGAGAGAGAGAGGAGAGAGAGAGAGAGAGAGAGAGAGGGGGGGGGGGAGAGAGAGAGAGAGAGAGAGAGAGAGAGAGAGAGAGAGAGAGAGAGAGAGGAGGAGAGGGGAAGAGAGAGAGAGAGAGAGAGAGAGAGAGAGAGAGAGAGAGAGAGAGAGAGAGAGAGAGAGAGAGAGAGAGAGAGAGAGAGAGAGAGAGAGAGAGAGAGAGAGAGAGAGAGAGAGAGAGAGAGAGAGAGAGAGAGAGAGAGAGAGAGAGAGAGAGAGAGAGAGAGAGAGAGAGAGAGAGAGAGAGAGAGAGAGAGAGAGAGAGAGAGAGAGAGAGAGAGAGGAAGAGAGAGGAGAGCGAAGAGAGATAGACTATATCCTTACCTCGACTTCGTCCTGAGTTGCGTTGCACAAAACGACGCCCTCAGCACCAATCTCGAAAACGTCAAACTCCTCTTCTTCTTCTTTAATTGAGAGGTTTCGAAGAACAGGTTGAAGGTTCTGAAAAAAATATTTAATAAATGCTGTTAATAATATTCCTTGCCTTTGTTGAAATTACCAAAAATCACCTGTTTCTCAGTCGGCCGTACCAACTGTAAAACGTCGGCTTCCTCCTTCCCGTCTGGCCGCCGGAATTCGATGTATTCTTGGGTCTTCTCGTCGACCGCAATCTCCCAAGTATCGCACAGATCCAGCGTACATCCACAAGCCCTCCTTCTGCCCTTGCCGACTGGGGTCACCATGAACTGGTTGCCGCTGAAGAACCGGCCGCAGAGGAAGCCCTCGCTCAGGAATTCTTCGAAATCTGGAAAAAAAACGGATTTAGTAGATTAGCGGGGGGCCGGAGTAGTTCTTTTTTATCATCTAAAACCACAAGCTATACTAATTTTATAGAGCTTCTAGAAATTCCGGTTTTTACAAGCTCTAAAACCATTTTTTGAAATTTGGATCAAAAGGTTAAATTTTTCGAGCATCATAACAACTATCTTTACCACCTTTGGGTTGAAAAATCTTCGCTATAAGAAGGGCATTTTATACTTATTAGGATGCGCGCGGAAGGGGCAAAGTAAACCTTTCTCTTATCAGATAACCCTGTAATTGAATATAAAGCGTATAAGGAAATTTTACAAATATATTCAGAATAGAGAAACTTCTAAAAAACTGGAATCAAGGAGTTCGAAATTCTCAATTTTAATTGAAAAAGGTAAAAACGACCTAAATTACGATTAAAATGCTTCAAACCTTCAATGATCAAGCGGCGAATGAGGAGTGGTTGAGCGTTGGTGGGTCGGGCTCGAATGTTCTTTCGAATTTTTAGATCGGCCGTGATGAACTTGGCGCCAACCGGGAGCCTTGACGGGCCCAAATACGGTGCGATTCCTTCGAGACCGCCCTCCGGGATGACGTGAAAACGGTTGCCTCTGCAGGCATGCCGTGAATCGCGTCGCCTTCGGTATTCTTGGGTGACCACTGAAAATAAAATCTATACTTTTGTAAAATCGGGGGGCGGGGAAGGCGAATTTTTTCCTACAATTCTAGGTGGGACTAGTAATGTAATAGCAAGTATTTTATAATGTTTTCGAGGAAATTTTGATATATTTCGAGTTGAAACACTATTTAATATCTTATATTTTATACAAAAAATTGTAAACTTTCTAGCTTTTACGTAAGAAGCGATGTAGAAGAGGGGATTCTATTTATCTTAGCATCGATCCTAAGTAAAGGTTGTTTTTCCCCGATTTTGCTAAATTCTGTTCAAAACAAACTATCAACATTTTGAGAGCACACCCGAAAAGTAATATTAAATTACCTGGATAATACGCATCCCGATGACATTTTTTCAAGATCTGCGCCTTTTCCTCGGGCGACACCGGGCGTCTCGTGATGTATTTCTGGTGGATGAACCCGAGTGGAAGCGATTCGCGCCAAATCCAGGTGGCCACGTTGAGCTAAAAAAGCAAAAAGTAAGTAAAAAGATTCCTAATAAAAAGCTATCAAAAACCCACCAACTTTTCGTAGCTCACACCGCTCACTTCGTCGCTCCGTAGCTGGTCCACGATATACGAGTAGACCGTGCATTCGTCGCGCGTCAATTCGCAATATTTTTCCTTGGGTTCTGCCCACTTGTTCATCAGGGCCGCCTGAAAATAAAGTTATTTACAACGCCCTTTTCGATTTTTCCATAGTTTAGGCAAATTAGAGAAAAATAAAACAGCGAAAACTGCTAAATCATGAAAACGCAAAAACTTACCCGATTTTTACGATACGACATCGTCATCTTCTTCACCGACGCGTATATTGTGACGGGCTCGGATTGGCTGGGACGATTCCAAAGATCCGACAACTCTTCTTTGCTATAGTACAAATCGTAGACGAGCACGCCGGTGGAATTGTGCTAAAAAAGTTGTTGAAGCAGGTTTTGAAAAACTAAATATAGTTATTATAGCTCCAAAATTGTCAAAACTACGATAAAAGCCGTCTAAATTCATACCACAGTTTGTGCAGGAACGACGCGGAGGTTCAAAACTTCTGGGCGTAACTCGTCGAGAATCTTCTCCCGGAATGCCATCATGGAAGGCGGCTTGTTGGCCATCTCGTGCTGACCTGTAAAAAAGTGGCATTAAAAATCGATAATGACATAACATTGACAGAAAAGCAGTTAATATAATGCTTCTTGAAGGTTAATACAAAAATATCAAGGTTTTCAAGCGTATCGAATTCGTAATTTTTCAAATTTTCTAGCTACTCGCTTGCCAAAATTTGCCGTTGAGGTATATTTGTTTGAGGGTATTTTTGCTATAAAAATACATAATTGAAACTAGTATCTAAATTATAGGAACAAACTCAAGAGAGGACCGTGGGTGGCGCAGACGTGAAGTGGCGGTTACGGTGCAAAGAGCGCCCAACCAGAGTGAAGGGGAGCGGGCAAAGGAGACCAGCCCGAGGGTAAAACGACGTATTCCCTGAATGGTGGCCAAAAAATTATAAATTTTTTTCAGGTAGTTTTTTAAGTTTACTTTCGGTTTTCGGTTTTAGGTTGTAGATAAAAACAAATATTAAAATAACTTTTATAAGACGGCTTGACTGAAAAATGCTGGTTTTCGATATAAAGGAAAAATGGGAAACACGATGCGATAAAAATTAGCTCTCAATGGGTACGTGTGTTCGAAAATTTTGATTTTAAGAACAATAAACATGACTAAACTGCGCTTGTAGCTACTTAACCGTGCCGTCCGTACAGATGTAAGGCATCGGAAAGATTATTAAGAATTCCAAAAATAGTTCAGATAGTATCGTCCTCGTCATTCCTCCTCCTCCTCCTCCGGTCCTATTCCACAGCACCGATATTTTGTACCCTGTATTCCGCCAGGCTGGGACCTTTTTCCTGATAAGGGCACGTGTGTAGAAGGTGCCGCAAGTTCGTGTAATGCGCCGTTCCTTGCATTCACTTTTATTTGATTTCATATTTCGTTGGAATTTGATAATAATGGCATGCGGTTTATCTTCATAAAAAATTACAGGCAAATGGTGTGGTATCCGCCCGAGATTAGCGATCCTGAAAAAGTGACGATTGAAGGTAACACCGATGATCGATACGTCCTGATCGATCAGAATAGGTATAGAGATAGATAGAACGAGAGAGAGAGCGAGAGGGAAAGAGATAGCTAGAGAGAGAGAGAGAACCAGCTAGCACCATAAGGAGATCCATTTTAGTTTACTGGATCCGGTTGTTGCTTTAGCTCTAATCCAAACATGAAAATCATTTCACGACCCCGCACAAAACGTTAGATCAGTTAAATTTAATAAATGATAGCCAGTTTTTAGGAACCCAATCCGAGCGCAGATGCTCTTCCGGAAATGGTAGTGGCGGGAAATCAGAACGTCGGCTACGGAACCTTCGTAACGACAACAATTGGGGGGAGCCCTTGGAAGCCTGGCCGGCTGGTTTCGCTCGCCCGCAAGTGCAACCGGAGGCTAGCCTGAAAATGCCATCACCTACCGGGTCGCACATATAGCTGTATTTAGCTTGATTCAGTGTAATTTATTTTTGTCTTTGTGTGGGACTTTTCCCGATTATGAGCTCAAATGTCTTTTGAGATTCCATGAATTTTTCACACATTTCCGTGCAAGAGTTGCTGCTATACTCCACGCTTTGTTCACTGCCTGTATTTACAAAAGCTTGCACTGCCAACAATAAAAATCGGTTTATTATTCCCTCAATCGTTGCTGCAACCATTTAAATCCTTGGCCATAGCCTTGTCTTGCTACGATTGACGTCATGAAGACTTCTAGCGGTCTTTCGGGTAGGCTGGCTTCTTAAAAAATGCAGAGATTTTAACGAATGCACTTCCAAAACGGTCACCATTGCTCAAAAGCTCTTTCTTACATTGCTTTTGCAAAATTCAAGCTACATAAATCGACTCATCTTACCTTTCCCAGTACACATTTCCTCCAGCCCAAACTGGAAAATGATTTCATGCTCGTCGACCGCATTCGGGCGATCGATTTTGTTGGCCAGGATTAAGATCGGGATCTCTGGGATCTGAAAACACATAAAAATTAGAAAATATAGAATCTTAACGCTTACCCTGACGTCTGCCAAAATCGGTTTTATCCACTCTTTGGCTTCCGCAAATCGCGCTTTATCCGTAGCGTCGATCAAAAATATTATGGCATCAAAGGTAGGAAGTTGCGCCTTAAAATTTCCGCCGGCTGTAAAGGTGAATTACGAATTTTTAGGACCTTATTTTGATACTAAACTAAAGACTAAAACCAGCTACTTTCGCTACAAAAGGCCTTTTTTCATAACTAGTCGACTCAGAAAAAAATTTATAACGACTTACGTAAAGGCATGCCACCCAAATCATAGACATGAATATGAAATTCATCGAATATCAGCTGCTCTCCGACTTTAAAACAGCAAACATCGGTATTACCGTATTAACTCACAAGTTGCCCGGATTCCTGGAGGATTTTCGAGCCTTTGCGCTTTTGGCTCATCAGCGAGCATATGGAGTAGCGTCGATTTCCCAGAATTATCCAACCCGGTCAGCAGGATTTTGTAGTGACATTTGAAGCCTAAAAGTCACGAAATACAGAGACTAGGAAGACCTTAAGTTTAATGACAATGATTTTTTTGTTTAATTGACGTTGCAAAAATCCCGACAAAAATCCCGAAAATACCGAAAATTTGGAGGCCCTTTGGCTGCGGGCTGCAAAAATTTGTTTATTTTAACTTTAATTTAACCTTTTTGGTTAGGAAACCTTCTAAAGTTTATAAAATTCATTTTCGCAAGGTGTTTCTTCTAATTGAAATCTTCTTAAACTCATAAGAATTTATAATTTTTTCTTCAGCTAAACTCGGCTTCAAAACCTACCCAAATACATCAACAGCGCCATCCACCAATCCCAGAGCCATTCAAACATTGCGTGAAAAGGTCCGCAAAAGTAAGAAAAAGCAGATGCAAAATGGAATTAGGAACTCCTCAGCCTCAAGACCACCATTTTAAGCAAAAACCCGGCCAACACAAAGGTTCCACCTCATTCCGGGACACCAATGTTGTGCCACGTGTCGAAAAGAGTGAGGGCAAAGAAGCGGTGAGGGGAGAATGAGTCATAATTTGTTTGCACGGGGCGTTGCCAAGGGCATCTTTTGGAGCCTTTGCAGGCGTGTTGTGTTGAGGAAAGCATTGGAAATCGCGAACGGAAATCCATGCTTTATTGGGTTGATATGATTTGATACATGCACCATCAGACTAACGCTTTTATTTCCCAACTGAGTGTGAGTTAATGATCATTTTCGGTAAATTTCACATATCACCCCGACGTCATATCGCCAGCCATACCGCTAACAACAACCGAGCAGTTGCACGTCATCGGCTTCGTCAGGCAGGCCACCTAAAATTAATATCGATCGATGCCTTGGGACCAAAACATGGAAAGTTTTTTGCGCATAAAGTACTCTAGACGTTCCCATGAACCGCGTCTCTACCCTCCTGCCTCGAACTGTAACCATGCTACGGTACTAGGTACACGTACCGTGGACTTGTCCCTGAAGCTTTGGTACCTCGCCCAGTACTTTGGGAGTTTCGGATCGGCGAGGTCGAGGAGCCAGCCGACATACGAGCGGGCTTTCATATTCTGAAAAAGATTTAGCATGAAATGCATTTCACTCTCTCTCTCGCTCTCTCTCTCTCTCTCCCGGTCTCGCTTTCTCTATCTTTAGCGTTCTCTCTCTCCCGCTCTCGCTCTTTTTGTCAATCGGTCGAACAAACTTTCTCTTTGGGCTCTCTCGCTCTCTCTCGCTCTCTTTGTCTCGCTCTCCCTCTATTTATCTCTATCTATCTCTGTCACGTTCTCTCTCTCTATCTATTTCTCTCTCTATCTCTCTCTCTCCGTCTCTCCCTCTCTTACATTGAACAACTTCTGCAGCATAGTGTTATTGTTCAGGACTCCAGTGATGACCGTACAAATCTGGTTCATAACCTGCGTCACGTTGAGATTGTTGCACCACTTCTTGTAGGCGGGGACGATCTGGATAAAGTTTAGGTATATACAGGTTCAAGCAAACTACATCTTTAAAACGTCTAAGCACATTCGGAAGGAACCGTAAGCATAGTCCTTACCGACGAGTTATACAGTGGCTCCAGCGTCTCCTTGGCGCCACACGCCAACGCGGTGCCGATTTTGTCGATGTCGTAGCCTTTGGACTAAAAGGGTTTTTATCCAAAATCTCTCCTTAACTTACCTGGCACGTGCCCATCACCGCCGTGGCGTCACCCACAAGCTGCGCGCACAGCGCCGGCTCGTTGGCCATCGCGCACGACATTAGCGTGGGCAGGTTATCGCTGGTGTAGTTGATGAGCACTAAAAATATCAAGCGCTCAAGGAGTCGTTTTAAGGCATACTATTCCCAACTTCGCACATTGTCGGAGGGTTGCAGTTCTTGCGGGATTTGATGAAGGCGACGATCGCGGCGGGAGCGCCGGAAGCGAACTGGAAGAAAAGCTATCTGTTTCGTTCCCTCATTCCCTCTCTCTCTCTCTCTCTCTCTCTCTCTCTCTCTCTCTCGTTCTCTGCTTACCACTCTCTCTCTCGCTCTCTCTCTATCTCTCTCTCGCTCCTGCTAGGTTGCTAGTTTCGTTTCTCTCTGCGTCGCTCTCACTACTGTAGCTCTCACTCCCCGGATCACACACGTTCTCTGTCGCTCTCTCCCGCTGTCTCCCGCTGTCTCCCGCTCTCTCCCGCTCTCTCCTGCTCTTTCCTGCTCTCTCTCTCTCTCTAGCTCTCTTCCTCTCTTCTTCTCTTTCCTTCTCCCTCTCTTTCTCCCTTTCCCCCACTCTATTTCGCTTCGCACTCTATCGCTCTTTATATCTCGCTCTCTATCTCTCACTCTCTCGCTCTCTCTCTAGCTCTCTCCCGCTCTCTAATGCTCTCTCATTCGCTCTCTCCCTCTCTCGCTCTCTATCTGATCAATTCGAAAACTCACACCCCACATTGTCTTCTTCGACACAAGTGGCTTTCCCAGGGCCTTCAGAATAGCGTCCATGGCAGCACCGCATTTCGTCGGAGGCGTATCCGATGGACAGTTGGCGGCTTGGCAAAGGGCCAGGAGTCCGGAGGCCAACAAAACTGTTGTGAGGAACCTCGCGTTCATACCTTGCAAATTTTAGCATTAAAGGACGGAGAAGTCAAAAGTTGCGTGGTCGGGGATAGAATCCCGTTGTCAAAAACTAATGGCGCCGTAGTGTAGCGTATTAAAAAAGTTAAAAAACTAGGTCCTGATAACCAGAAAGCATACTGTAGGTTTATAGAGTCCGAACATCGGTGGTCGCGCTGATGATCTGGGCTTTATACACCCGCCCTCTGACCGGATCAACCCCGAGCAGTCCAATTAAAACGCGATATTTTGTAGTCCCCAGGCTGATGATCAGACTGCCCTCGAGTGCATGAGAGAGCAGAACAATTTTTTTGCTCCCAAAAACCAACAAACGATCACGATGTGTTGTGGGAACAGAATACGAACTCGTTGAACTTGTGACAAGGTAAATTACCCTCGTATTGCAAAAATTGATGAAAAGTTTAATCGCTCAAAATCCCGAAAGTCATAATACCGACAGCGGAAATACCGACCGCCAAAATGCCGACATGTAAAATAGATAATTAACAGAAATTGACATTCAAAGTCACATCATTAAAAATGTTCCATGTTTCAACATCGCCAATTACCGTATTCTAGGCTTACGGATGTCGGCATCTTGTCCTGTTCCTATCTTGGGGTCGGGAGTTTCGCTGTCGGGTGTATGGCTGCCGGGATTTTCACAGGAATGGTAGCAGGTCCGTTGCGGTTCCACATTTTCCAAAGAATCACAGGAGGATATATGGCTTTCAGGAAAAACCAGTCGTTACAAGACACCCGGCAGACGCGTTGCGTCTTTTTGGAGACAACCAGCAAATGTTCCAGCATCAAACAACGATATACGCAACGCGTAGGAATGCGTCCCCAAGCCCTAAAAACCACCTCAATCGAGATACTTGACTGGATAGATCAAAGTTTCGTACCAAAGTTTGTTCAGCACTATTTTTGATGCTCGTTCAGGTGCAAATTGAGTTGCGTATTGGAGATGCCCGTTTAGCCCCGGTTACACCTTGAAAGGTAGCGTAAACCCCGGCACCGTACAGTTGCGTACAACGTCCATATGCGCTGCGTAGCCACATGAAGATTTTCGTGACTTCGTCTTACATTTGTATTATTTGTGCACTTCCCGAAGGAGATGCGTTCCAAAATTTGTTCGAGACACTCGTGGAGGTCTCAGGGTTAATGCTAACCTCAAACTTTGGTAATTAAACCGAAGCTGTCGTTGGCTGGCCGCTCTTACCATCTGCCTTGACTCCAGGTGCGCGACTTTTCCCTTGCGGCCACTTGCTGAAACAGTATGATTTTCCAAGTTTCGAAAAATCATAGCAACCATACCCATCACACCAACCACACTTGCGTATCGCAGATGCCCGTTTGGCCCCGGTTACGCCTTGAAAGGTAGCGTAAACCCCGGCACCGTACAGTTGCGTACAACGTCCATACGCGCTGCGTAGCCACATTCAGCGGCCGACTGAACGCGCACTGGCGAACCGCGTATCGCTAAAAAATTGGGGTTTTGGTCTGGAAATGCACAAGGAACGCGTCGCAGCCGTAGGCTTCAGAAGATCACGTACAACGTATAGCGTCAGGCGTCGCAATGACTAGAAGTTTTCAGCTTTTCCTAAAGCTTGAATTGCTCACCGATGATACCTTACACAGAGTTTTCCAGACTTTCGGGTTTTAACACACCCTGTATTTCCTGTATTTCAAAAAAAAACGGGTTTTGGGACACCCTGTATTGCGTTTGGATTGTGACTCCAAAAATCTCACAAATCCCAGTATCCAAACAAACATTCTAGTCCCTCGATTCCAACTTCGAACGACTTTGTTTTTGCCTTCCCACCGGGCTGCCATTATGTGTCCCCAACTCTTCAAAAGCCCTCCGAAAAAAATTTCAAAGCGTCGGGCGGGGGCACAAAGTGAATCCGGCATATTCCTCAACACGGACTCCCCGGTTGGAAGTAAGCATGAAAGTAAGAGAAAAAAAAAAGGAATGTCGTCTGCCCCGTCATTCATCAGGGCCCCCACGGGACAGCTAGGGGGGAGGACTGAATTCTTCTTCTTTTCCTCCCTTTGAACTTCTTCCCTTTTTCACTCAACTTCAGAGACTGCCGTCGTCGTCTTCTTTGACAACTTCTTGTGCGCGGGACGCCTTCAATGGAATCGAGGCCGTGAAACAAAGAGCGGAAAAAGAACGATAACCAACTTGGTCTTGGCAGTTGGCAAACTTTTTGGGAAATGTTGCCTAAATTTTGGTAGTTTGGGAGGTGCGATCTTTAGTTTTGTTTTTACCTGGCAGCGGTTTGTTAATAAAATATACATAAATTAATATAACAGCTCATAAACGTCCGCCTATCTCTCTCTCTCTCTCTCTCTCTCTCTCTCTCTCTCTCACGCTCGTTCTCGTTCTCTCTGGCTCTGTTCTCTTTCTTTATCGCCCTCTCTCGCTCTCTTTTATGTTTCTGTCTTTCTCTCTATCTCTCGCGCTCTCTATCGCTCGCTCCCTCTCTCTCGCTCTCACTCTCTCTCTCACTCTCTCTCGCTCTCTCGCTTACCGAGCAATTGTCTGGATATCCGTAGCGATGCAACTTACGTTTTCCATGCGCCAAAAAAGTACCCACTCGACCCAACTTACCCGATCCAAGATCACACCTCCAGCCCCCCAGACCCAGATGTTTAGACAAAATTGACGGGTGATCCATCTGTCTGGCCCACGTTCGCGCTTAAGGGACTAGTAGACACAACGGGGGGAATCCCGTTAACCCCCATCGCTCAAACGATAACACGACATGTGATGGGTGTACCCCATCCATCCCTGGCTATCAACCCCTGAACATGGCGAGTGTGTTACACATTTTGGTGTTCCTGTTTTTTTTCCCCGGCCAGGCTCGTGAAATCGGAGAGTTTTCGGGAAATGGCGGGGCTCAAAATAGCGGATCTGATCGACAGACGGGAATTGCGTTACTGTGGTTCTCTCTCTCTCTCTCTCTCTCTCTCTCTCTCTCTCGCTCTCTCTCTCCCTGTCTCTGTCTCTGTCTCTCTCGGTCTCTCTCTCCCTCTCTGTGTCTCTCTCTGTCTCCCCACTCGCTCGCTCGCTCGCTCGCTGTCTCTCTCTCTCTCTCTCTCTCTCTCTCTAGCTTTTTCGCTCCCTCGCTTTCTCTCACTAATTCTCTCTCTCTCTCTCTCTTTCGAAATTCCAATATCTAAAATTTTCTTGATTTATGACCAACATAATTTCCTGAAGGTTCAATTGATCTTTAAAAATTTCTCTCCTGAATTTCCAAGCCAGCCTTTTTCTTTTTCCAAGCTGTTGGAGAAGATACCTTGCCGATGCAAAAAGACCATCCGCCAGAATTCATCAGCCTTCATCAGGAGCGATCATGCATGAATTAGCCACAGCCATCCCCAACTTCCCCCCACCTTCCGATGCCTACATCTTCGGAATTCCGCAAAAAGCTTCCTTGCAACTTTGGGGGATGGAGTTGGGAGATCCTCTGCTTTACCTCGACGGGAAATCATAGCTTTGCACACTCATTGCTTCGGAAAGATAGGGTCTATCTTTGTCACTCTTTCCCTTCCTCCTCTTTCTATTGCTTTTTTACTCTCTCTCTCTCTCTCTCTCTCTCTCTCTCTCTCTCTCTCTCTCTCTCTCTCTCTCTCTATCTCTCTCTCTCTCTTTCTCTCCTCTCTCTCTCTCTCTCTCTCTCTCTCCCTCTTTCTCTCTCTCTCTCTCTCTCTCTCTCTCTCTCTCTTAGTAAAGTTTACCTTTGATTCATAGAGGATTTTGCGCTCATACGCAAAGTTCCGGAAGAAGAATCTTGCAGGAACTCCAAAGCCCTAAACTTCTCCGGATCCGCTGTGAGATACCGTTATTACCTTGGGGACGCCCGAAAACCTATTAGTAAAAAGCAACCTAGACCCAGACTATTATTATGCTCCATTTTTCTTTTTCCAAATTGATTACCTCGCTTAGTTTTTTCAAAGCCTCCGTATTCATCCTCTGGACACTTCCGGGAGGGCAACGTATCCAGCGGACGGCCATAAATTTCAGTAGATCTACCCCCGAACCCGGTTGGCCACCACCAACCCACCCGAGTTGGGTCGACTGGTCCACCCGGAGAAACGGCTCCCCAGGGGGATTTAAAAACGATTTCGATATTTTTCCTTGAGGAGTCGGGTGGGCCATTTCCTAAAATGCATGCCCTCGATGAGAGAACGAGAGAGAGAGAGAGAGAGAGAGACAGAGAGAGCGAGAGAGACAGAGAGAGCGATAGAGGGAAAAGAGAGC